TGCAGGTTGGCCCTCGTTTCGGCTGTCGCTATCAACAATCTCCATGATCAGATCCTTAGCTTGGGCAGCTGATTCGCGAGAGCCGATGAGGTTAACAGGTCGAAGTCCATTGACACTCTTGGATTCACCAACAATATTGATGTGGCAGCCGGACCGCTCCTGCAAATCACGAATGGTCTCGCCACCGCGACCGATGATTAGGCCCACGGTTCTATCGGGAACCATAATCTGCATGCAGTCCTCGCCGTCGCGGAGAGCTGCGGCTCCAGCTCCGGCGGCGGCGGCGGCAGCGCTCGCTCCAGGTGGTCCGCCGCGGTGGTCGCGAGGTGGGGGTCCCTTGGGGTTCGCAGCGCCACGGTTGATGGCACCCATACCGCTATCGTCGATAATGCGGTTGATGGCCTCCTTGACTTCACTGCGCTGTGCCCTGGGACCGCTGATCTTGCACTGGCGGAAGGGACCGTTATCGCTAGAGGGAAGGAACTGCACACGACAGTTGGACTCTGACTCGATACGACGAAGGTTCTCGCCTTGTCTACCGATAATGAGACCAACAAGGCTCGACTCGATCTGGATTGTCTCGGCGTTGTCGTCACCGCCGCCACTTCCTCTCAGCGGCGATCGCTCTCTGCCGTTGGAGTTGCGAGGAGAGAAAGTGCGACCACGTGGGCCAGGGCTGTAGGATCGCTCGCGGTGACCATAGTCTCGTGGAGCAGGGCGGTCATCCCGGCGTTCGTCTCTGTAGGGGTTGAAGTTGTCGCGGAACTGGTCGCGACGGTTGGAAGGAGAGCGTGACCGCGAGGATCGGCCGTAAGCTCGAGAATCCTGGCCGCGGGGAGCTTCGTTGGAGTAGACGATGGGTCGGTCGTAGGATGCCACGCCCTTCTCGGCAGCGAAGGCCTTGGCTTGCGCAATGGCATCGGCGATGCTGACTGTGCCAGAGTTGACGGGTCGGATCGAGCTTAGATCCAGACTGCCGCTGGATGAAGGCTGGGGCAGGCCCGGGTAGCCACCGCCGCCGCCATACGGGGGCGCGTTCTGCTGGGGCATCGGGGGATAGGAAGGAGGCGGCTGGCCGCCGGGAGGAGGAGGATAGCTAGGCGGCATGCCGGGCTGTCCTTGGGTCGGCGTCGAAGAAGTGCCTCTTTGTGCTGCGCCTGGAGGAAAGAATGCAATCAGTCTGTGTTCAAGGGTGCAGGAACAAATTCGTGTCGTGTCTCGGGTACCTACCTAGGGCGGCGAGGATGGAGGAGATGTCGCGAGGCGGTTCGGCCATTGTGGCTGTCGCGTATGAGTGATTCAGGGCGCGATCAAAGGTCAGATTGTGACTTGTCAAAGGAGGGAAAAAGTGATGGAGCGTGTCGGAGGGCTGAAGACTTTTTGCGCGCAAGTGGAATTTTCAGCGCGGCGCAGAAATGAGTCGGATTGATTCCGAGAGTGGGTTTGATCAGGTGACAAGGATGTGTATCAATGCCAGCAATCACAAAGTGAGGTCGTAAAATCGGTCTCTGGGCAATCACGGCCTTGATTACGTTGAGTCGCGAAGGATTCTCAGATGGTATCAGCTTGTCAAGATATGTTAGGGCAAGCCGTGGTGGCACTGGTAGGAGGTGTGATGGCGAGGTTTAGAGTTTGGCGAGACCGCCTGCCAAAAACAGATTGCTCCTTGCTTTGCAGCGTGGGTTGAGCTGTGGAATGTGATGCGCAAGGTCGGACAGGGGCAGGAGGCTGGAAAGTGGCATGGATGCAGTGAAAAATGGGTGTGCCGGACTTTTGTTCTTCCCGAGGTTGACCGTATCTTACCTGGAAGGTACGTGTGCAGGTTCAGGTCAGGTCTAGGCCCAGGGGAAGGTCCAAGCACGTGACGAGGTCATACTGATACAGCAAAGCTTGGACTTGGGTCCGCAATTGTGGCACAGGCAATGGAAGCACTGCATTTCAAGCCACTCTTCATAGTTCTAACACTAAGGAAGGTACCTATGTCGTCACCGTCGACAACTTGGAAGGAATGGGTGGCTGCGCATCTGAGTGACGTGCAATCTTAATAGCCAACAAGACGGAGCTAGGATGACTGAGACTGGGAAGTCTCATACGGAGAGTTTTCAGGTGAGTTTGCAACAATGCAGACTGGAGTGACTGGCTCAAGGCGCAGCTAAAGCAAGTCATGTCAATGCAACGCGAGACAGCTGGGCGAAGCCGACTGACTTGTGACTTGGATGACCGTAGAGATGCAGGCAGCACTTATCAATAATGATGTAGTTCACTGGGAGACTGCAACGAAGCCTACATTTATCGCGTGCAAGATCACAGCAGACTGAATGAGGAAGACCCCCGATATCTTATACGCGGAACTGACCATGAATGAGTATCACACTTGGATGGACAGACGCTCAGCTGTTTGTTAGGTTCACGAGTCAAAAAACTCGCAAGCGCCGACCTCATGGCTGACAGCGATGAGTTCTGTAGCGAAGCGCCCATCGTCGCAGAGCGCGGGCCACCGACGGCCAATCAATCTTTGCCAGCGTCAAGACTTGAGACGACCCCACAGAAAGAAGGAAGGAAGGAGCGACGGAGCCGTGGGAGCTTGGGTGCACAGGGCAAGTGCGAACTTCTTGTTTAGTGGAGCCACTGCCAATTGCCGCAACATTCCAGGTTCCATGGACTTCCCTTGATGGTACCTGAATGATCTCGACAAGGAAGGAGCAATGGAACAAAAATGCAACTTGGAAGGCGACCCCAATGATCAATCTCACCCTCACTCTCACACGACTCCGCCTGCGCCTCTCATCGGCAAGGGAAGGCCAACGTCGGGAAAGTCAGGAAAGAAGCATTGGAGGCCATCATACGTTGCGTTCCTTCCTTGCCTTTTTTTGCCTTTCAACTCTCATTCTTATCTGTGCCTGAGGTGAATGACCGGCCAATGCCATTAGACGAACATTCCTGGAATGCCACGATTTGTGGGATTTCGACAAGCTTTTCCCACCGTCTGACCAAGATCAGCCTCCAAAGGACCGTTCCTGTCGTAAACCGGTTTTTAGCATTCCGCGGTGGTCGGTGGCAAAGGCCTTGGCATCGATCATTGCTTGTTGCTTAGCAAGGACCCCAAGGAGACGACGAGCAACCAGTCACGAATCACAACACCAAGAAACTCATCTAGGGTCCATATCCACTCTCTTACCACTATCCTGCCCAATTCCCGGCCATTCTTGCCATCTGTTTACAAGGATTAGGCGTTAGCGGCGAGAACCGATTTGCCTTTTGCCCACAACGATTGGACAAAATGTTTGGCAATGTCTTCAGGGATCCCCTGCTGGTGCCAGCCATCCGCCGTCTCTCTTCGTTCGCTGGCTGACGATCTTTGCTCTGTTCCTGCTTCGCTCACTGCGGTCCCTCGCATCCTCTCCCCAGTCACCATGACCCTTCGTGCAGTTTCCGAGAGAAAACCACACAAACCTCGCGACATACCTGGATGCCTCCAGCAAATCCAGAATTGCCCAGACCAGCCTAACCAGGCCAACCCACCGTTTTCCCGCCCGCAACGGCACCAAACCCGTCCATGCCTCCTCCGCCGGGCACAGCCACCGGCAACCACCTGGTCTGCTGGCGTGACTCGCGACGGGGATGCCACTGGAGCGGCGCCGTTCACCTCGCGCCAGAACGGTAGTGTGTACCTTATCCTTACGAGGTGGCACAGGTGGGAAGCTCTCCGCAATAATCCCCCGGTCTTGCCAATGACGTCGCAGCGCATTCTTGTCGTGAGCTCTCTGGATCAACCCGAGCCTATGAGCGAGACCAGGTTGTGTTAAAATGCCTTCTATCCTCTGCGACACCCCCGGAAAGGCGACTTTTGGAAAGATGGGCACCATTCAACCGTTGCTCCGTGGTGTCCCCTTGTTCAGTGACTCAAATCTCGACTTGTATATCACTCTCGAGTTCGCCCCCATTCATGAAGCCACCAACTGTTGGCCTGACTTGGATAGGGCTATAGCTCTTGTGATACCGCAACCGAATCTCACTCAGCAAGTTTCAAGCAAGAGTCTCATCGTTCGACAAGACCTCATTGTAGGAGCAACAAAATTCTACCTCACAACTCCTCACTCTCGCCAAGCAATCTCATACCCAGCTCTCAGCTCTCAGCTCTCACCTCACACCCAGCCTTGGCCTCGACAAGACGGATCGAGTCTATCGTAACAGGCCGTAACATCATCTGATCTAAATACGGGCAACACGACATTAAATCTCAAAGAGCCCCATTCCGGCCTCCGAAAATATCGCTTTGCCTTAGCAGCGTTTGGGCAGCCGCTCATCGTGACCCCAGACGGTAGATTTGGTTGGCTGAGAGCGGCCGTTGAGCGCGCTTAGAAAACGAGCCTCAGCCAAATCTCCATATCCACCCTTACCGGGTGTCGCCAAACGAAACAAAGATTTGGGCCAAGTCGAGGTAATTTCCCTTCAAGGCCACGGCCAAAGGGCCCATTGCTGGCTTTCTTTAGCATTGTGGTGTGAATCAGGTAAGCCGCCTTTATTTTCTTTTCTCGACTTTGTTCCTATTGTTGCGCGCCTATCGCTGGGTGATCCTATGGCCCTGGCCGTGTTAGACGGCTTCCTTCTTATTATGCGTATTGCCCAGTCATTCCCATTCTCTCTTGTCTCTGTCGTCCTTCCAAGTCATCCTCGTCCTGTGTATTCATATCTTCTCCCGAAAAAAGTACCCCACAATGAATGAATAGAAGCTTGTTCAGAAATCAGTGCTTGACGAGTTTCCTTTGTCACTCTCTTTCCTTCCTCACTTTTTCCTCTTTCCCTCTTCGTGTCGAGTGATTCACCTAATTTCATCACCCAACTCCAACGATAATTTCTCCTCGACGTCGACCGCCGTTCTACCTGCTTCATTTCTTGCATTGGCCTTTTTTTTCCTTCTTTCTATTTTATCATTCATTTTTTATCTGCTGGCTCAGAGATACTCGCATCGGCTTCTTACATTCTTCGATAGAATCAACATGTTTTCCTCACGGAATCGCAAGGAGGAGGCGGCCTACCCGGCTGTCCCCGACTCTCTCAGGTCGGACTCGCTCGAGATGGCGGAACTTAGAAAGACGCAACAAGCGCGAGCCGATACTTCTCCCACCATAACACCATACCTCAGTCTCTCAGCCAGGCTGTCTCAGATCTGGCTGAACCGCTGGACAATCCTACTACTGCTCGTCCTCCTCAGAGTCATCTTGCTTATCGCCAGCCTAAACGACAATGTCGACGATGCGAATCAAAAAGCACTCTCTGCTTGCACAAAGGTCGAAGATATTGGCAGCGCCATGGCCTCGATGCCTCACTATCTCTCTGTCGGTGTCAACGAGCTGTCAGCCAAGGGTATCGAGAAGACCCTGGACGGCATGGTTGCTGCTCTGGGTCTGATCCTCACTGGTGTTCAGAATCTCATCATCTTCGTCATCAACATGATGACCTCGATGTACACCTGCCTCATCACTGCCTTCATTCATGGCGGCCTTGATGTTGCCTCCGACGTTACCAAGAAGGTCACCGACGCCATGAACAAGGTGGTCGGCGACATCAGCAATACAATCGATTCTAAGGCTAAGAGCCTCTCGGACGGCATCAACAAGGCCGTGGACGCAATCGAAAACTCCGTCCTCGGTAGCGTTCTGCCCGACTTTCCCAAGGTCGACTTCTCGGGGCCTGTCAACGACCTGCGCGACATCAAGATCGACTCCAGCGGCTTTGTCAGCGACATCAACAAGCTCAACGATGACCTGCCTACCTTTGAGGAGGTTCAGAATTTGACGGCTCAGGCTATCTCGTTCCCTTTCAACCTGCTCAAGCAGACCGTCAATGATGCCTACAAGGGCTACAAGTTCGACCGATCAGTCTTCCCTGTTGCCCAGAAGCAGGCGCTGCAATTCTGCTCGACCAACAATAACATTTCCGATTTCTTCAACAACCTGCGAGACATGATCCAAAAGGCTCGCATCATCTTCATTGTCGTTCTCTCCATCTTGGCTGTGCTGGTTATCGCACCCATGGCTTGGTTGGAAATCAGGCGCTGGAGACGCGAGCGAAAGCACGCTCAGATCATGGCCAGCAACCAGTACGACTCGATGGATGTGGTTTACATTGCTTCCCGCCCAATGACCGCTACCTGGGGTATTAAGATTGCTTCCAAGTTCAAGGGCCGTCGCCAAATCTTGGTCCGCTGGGCTATTGCATATGCCACATCGCTCCCCGCTCTCTTCGTCCTGGCCCTTGCCATCGCTGGCTTCTTCTCTTGCTTGTGCCAGTACGTCCTGCTCAAGGCTGTCGAAAGAGAAGTGCCCGCCCTTGCCAACCAGGTCGGCGAATTTGCCGGCGAAGTCGTTACCTCGCTACAAGATGTCTCCAAGCAGTGGGCTGATGATGCCAACGGTGTTGTGTTGTCAACACAGAACGAGATCAACCAGGATATGCTCGGCTACGTCACGAACGCTACCTCGGCTGTCAACGACACACTGAACACGTTCACTAACACCATGACGACTGGTCTGGAGACTGTATTCAACGGCACCATTCTCATTAATCCCATCAAGGACGTCATTCGCTGTACCATTGGGCTCAAGGTCGAGGCTGTCCAGAAGGGACTGACATGGGTCCACGATCACTCGCAGATCTCGTTCCCTCTTTTCGACAATGACACCTTCAGTCTCGGCGCTCAAGAGTCCATCTCGGGCGACTCAGACCTCAAGACCTTCTTGTCGTCACCCTCAAGTGTGTCAACCGACGAGGTCACTGGCGCCGTGACTCATGTTACCGATATGCTTCGTCGGGGCATCATCAAGGAGGCACTCATCTCTACCGGCATCCTTCTCGTCTACGTCATTGTCGTTCTCATCGGCATCATCCGCGCCTTGGTCGGCATGGCCATGCCCGACAAAGGACGTGGCGAGGGCGGATTGCGCTATACCGGAGACGACCGCCCAGCAATGAGCCCGCGAAGCCCGCCCAGATCCCATGGTAACGACTCTCGCTTCCCACAATTTGGTAGCGATGCATCTGCTGTGGATGATGACCACTACTCGGGGATGCGAGATGAGAAGGCGCTGAAGAAGACGAGCGTCCAGAGCGGCAGAGTGCAGCCTACAGAGGGCCATCAACGACAAAGCTCGTACGGGCACCTCGACACAGCATCATCAACCAAGTTTTAGAACGGTATCTACGAAGTATCGACAACAGAAATAGGAAAAGACGAAAAAAAAAAAAAAACAGAGGTTGGAGACCTTTATACCTCCGGCCTGGGCTGGACCGAACGCCGAGAGATACCCCTCATTTACGATAGGTCTGAGAGATGATACGAAGAGCATGATATTCGGGAGTTGAAGCATGACTATCAGGTATTTCAATTTTTTGATGGAATGGGAAAGGGATGGAGAGGGAATACTTCAAAAAGATACCAACGGCTCAGTCGCCGCACCGTTTGTTTTCGATTCTACAACGGATCTCAATTTCTGCGCTCTGATTGACACCAGTCATCAAAGTTTTTTTTTCATTCTCTGGAATGAACTTTTGAGTCTGCAGCGGCGTCACCGACTGCCAGAGTGTCGACTCGGTACATACCTCTAGGTAGTTCAAGATTGAATATACTGCTAGCTGCAACCAAATACTCTATTCCATGTGCCCTGACAGCGCAGCCGTTACGGAGAGGTGGATGACTGATACCGAGCAGTGGCATGATCAAAGCTCCGGGCGGTATTGCCGCATCTACGGATCCGATTGTCTTGATCGTCGTCGGGAGTAAGCGGCCATGACAGTGATTGGCAACTGCGGCGGCGGCGGCGGCGACGACCAACACGGTATCATCTGATCTTGTTCAATCCTACGAGGCACCTGAACCTTCTCTGATAAATTTTCAACCGCTATCAATATCATCTGCCTCGGTGACATGTTCCATGGTTTGTTGAGGCAGCTCCGTTGTCGTCTGACCGTTATCACCATGACCTGCGGAGATTGAACAGACGTCGTGGGAAATTCGATATCTGATCAAGGAGACAGACTTTCGGGACAATTGGACCGAGAAACGGGACGCCCCCACGAGAAAGGCGGGATGTCACCGAAAGCCAAGAAAGAGCCTCATGAATGGAACGGGGTACGAAAAGTCGCTGTATCATTGTGTCGCGTGTGTATCACGAGGATGAGCTACCGTACGGAGAGAGATTAAAATACCATGTCTTGTTTGCCTGCCGGTGCGGGCAATGGTGATGAATGGTGGGGGGTGCGGATTGCAGAAGTGGAGACTCGGGGAGCCTGGAATCACCTCTTTTGGGCATCTCCGCCCCGCCCTCCGACCGACTTTCTGGGGCGTCATCGTCAGGGACTCCCGGCCCCACACCCGCCACTCTCTGTTGGTGGGAACCGATGCCGGATGGTCGGTCTGTTTGTCCATGGTATGAGCGATGTGAGTGGCTCAGGGCCCTCGGCTCAAGGTTGTTCTTGGACTCCAACATGACTTCAAGATTTGCCTTTGACTGAAGGGCCTAGCATTCTCGTTTTGGTGCTTGTAGGTACCTCATGCCCTTGAGGCTCGAAAGGAGCATTCCGGGGGATCGATCGGTGTGACCGTTGCAGGCCGTCCATCTTGGCGGACGATGGACGGGCAGTCGATATAGCGGTTGAACATGGCCATTTCCAGGGCTGCCCCGGGGGAAAACATAGATCCCAATCGCTCGGTGTTCTGCCCACTTCCACGGAACAGATAGCAACCTGACACTAGGTACCTACCTTAAGGTAGGTACGAGATACTGTGGACGGATACAGCAGTCCCAGCTGGCTATAGGCAGCTGTATCGGGTGGACACTCAGGGCACGTCGGAGCTCCCGTCCCGTTGGGAGGTTCCTTTTTCACACCGTCCCGCCCCTTTGGCAATGGCCGCTGCTGCTCCGACCGCAAGCTGCCCAAGGGAAACCGGCGCCCGCCCCAAGAGTCATTCCATTTGCTCCTCCCCCACGTCTGAGATCATTAAGTACCTTTTTTTTTCCCATTGGAATTTCTTCCCGTCCCCCCCTACTTAAAACTTACTACCACCTTCAACCTTTCTCACATCTCAAGTTTTTTCTTGTGATACTAAAAAACAAAACCCCAGCGAGTCAAAAAAGTTGTTCTTTTGCCCATATACCCCCTTCCAATTGACTTTCCTGTTTCCTTCTACTCTCTATACCACTACACAATATGGAAGGCATTCGTCAAACGTTTGCGCGCTGCAAGGCCCAAGGAAGGGTGAGTCTTTTGCCCCCCCCCCCCCTCACCCCC